ACACTCCCCTTCCTTTTGGATTGTAAGCCGCCCTGAGTCCCCTCAGGGAAAAGGGCGGCCTATAAATGTCTAATAAATCCAAATCCAAATCCTTATAACTTCCACATTAGACTATTGTAACATGCTCTACATGGGGTTGCCCCTGAAGACCATTTAGAAACTCCAACTGGTGCAGAACGCCACCATGCAGGTAGTACAGATATATAGCACATGTAGCACCACTCCTGTGTTCACTGGCTACTGGTGTATTTCCAGATACAATTCAAGGTGCTGGTGGTTATCTTTAAAGGCTTACATGCCTTGGGACTACGTTACCTGAGGGATTGCCTTTTTTTGAGAGCTGCTATCCATCCAACCAGGTGAAGTAGGATAGGCATGCTGCAGATCCTATCAGCCAAAGAATGTCCACTGGATGGGGATCAGATGACGAGCTATTCCTCACTGGCCCCAGCTCTATGGAACATCCTCTCTTCAGAGATAAGTGTGGCTCCAACCCTGTTAGCCTTTTGTAAGGCCCAAAATCTTGGCTATGTTCCTGAGGCTGGGGATCTCAATATATCAACGACCCCGTTTCCTGCTATCTTGCTAAGTGGTCAAGTATCTTGCTCCTATATGTATGTAATTTGTATGTTTTAGTGTTTTATTGGTCTTACTATTTTATTGTTTTAAAATGTTTTTCATATTTTTAGGTAATTTGTTTTTTCAATTGTAAGCCACCCAGAGTCATTGACTGAGATGGACAGCCATTGAAATTGAACAAACAAACAAAATATTGGGTCGATAATTACATGATTACCCACTTAACAACCAGCATGGCTTACGACTATAATTCCAGTCTCAATTACGTTTAGGCCTATCTGTAACTCACATTGGCTCTGCAGGTCAGACAATTCAGTAGTTTCAGACATGAATCTGGTAAATTCTAAATGATATGTATTATGATTCATGTTACCCAAAATATAACCAAAAATGCTTGGAGTCCCTATTTCCTCTACAATCAATTCTGCTTGATCAAATATGTAATAATATCGATTCTTTGTTACTTGTCTTGTAGACTTTCTCAAGTACACAGTAAAGTGCTAAAACAATCACTTCAGAAAGACAAACTTATAAACAAATGTACAGGTAAGTTCAGTAGAAATTTGAAATGTTTGAAGGGCCCATTGATTTTTTGTTTTAGTGAAATACTTCTAAATGCATGCTTTCAAATAATATCTATCTTGCAATAGGACCAGTCTGCTTTATTTGTTTAGGTACACAACTCTTAAAATCTGCTATGTAAGGTTAGGATTCTAAAGGATATGTTGACCATTAAGAGGGGAAACAGATCTGCTCATTGAAACTCATAAATGGATTGTGCTATACATTTTGAGACTTGGGAAGAGGAAAACTTAAATGACTCCCAACTTCCTATTGTAGAAATTGAAACCCACATTCAGAAGCAGGAAAATATTCTAAGCTGCAAAGAAAATGAAATCAAGGAACTGCATTATTTTGTCAACAAGCAGAAGCAAATCTTAAAGTAAGTACCTCAAGCTGAGATTTCTTTCTCTTTCTATTTATTATTCACTGTTAACTACAGCAGGAGACAAATACTTTAGCAAATTCATTGAAATTATTTATTTATTTATTTAAAAGATTTGTATGGCTGCCCATCTTAGACCATATCTGACTAGTGGGATGGGCAGATAGCCACAGAGAGAGACAATCCCCAAAATAATCTGGATTTATCCCATAAAGGTTGAATTGCACCTGGAAAGAAGCCACTGCAGTTCATCTTGCAACAATATGGCAAACTAAGAGCTGTCCAGCATTGTGCATGCTACCACATGCTCCATCCGTTGTAACTTCTGGATGGTCTTCAAGGGCAGCCTCATATAGAGCAGATTGTAGTAATCCAACCAGAAAGTGAATAAGGACTGAATCAGAGGTGGTATTCTGCCAGTTCGTCCTGGTTTGGCTGAACCGGTAGCAGCAGCAGGGAGAGTGAGGACAGCTGGGTGCAGTTTGGCACCTCCTGGCTCCCCTCAGATCATTGGGGGATCTTGCGCGCCTGCTCGCTCACGTGGCCTGCGTGCTTCCAGCGGGAATGGGAAGTACAGGGATCTTAATGTAGTACAGGCACACGAGGCCCGGCGATGATCTGAGGGTAGTCAGGAGGCGCCAAACTGTGCCCAGCTGTTCTCACTCCCTCCCAGCTAAGGGTGGGAACGCCTGAGAAGCCGCTGGGAGAATGTCCCCTTCGGGTTGCTGGGAGAGCAAATTTCAAGGGAAAAAGCAGCTGCTTGAATCGGTGCGCCACTACGCCTGAACATAATGCTCTCCAAGAAGCCTGTGTTACTGGGAGCAGCAGCAGCAGCGGGCACCACTGCCATCCCCGGTGTCCAGCATCTTCCTCGGGAATCTCGAGTTGCGGCCGTTTGCGCGTCTCTCCCAAGCTTCTCTCGGGAGGTGAAATGGCATGCGCCCCGCTGGCAGAGCCTCTGGGTGAAAGGCGAGTGGCGGGAGAGGCTGGCCATCCCCAAAGCCAGCTCTCAAGGAAGGAGGCAAAGATGAGGCCCGGGGCTCGCTTCCCTGCCTCCTTTCTCTGAGAGCTGCAGGCAGCAGGGAAAACGAGGCTTCTTTGCCAGCTTCCCAGCTGGCAAAACAGAATTTTTCACCAACTGGAAGGTATGTGTGTGTGTGTGAGAGAGGTGGGGATGAGAGAGAGAGAGAGAGAGAGAGAGAGAGAGAGAGAGAGAGAGAGAGAGAGAGAGAGTGAGTGAGTAAGGGTAAGAGAATAAAAGGAAGGAAGANTGATTGATTGATTGATTGATTGATTTTATTTCTATGCCGTCCTTTTCCCTGAAGGGGACTCAGGGCGGCTCATAATCCAAGTCAGGGAAGGGGGTACAGACAGGGGATAAAAAGACGGACATAACAGTACACAATTTAAAAGCACACAACAACCATACCATTCGAGGGGGGGGCAAAAGCTCGGAAGGATGGAAGGCTGAGTCAACCCTGAGCCGGTGAGATTAGAACAGCCAAACTGCAGAACTGCAGTCAGCTGAAGTAGCCTGCAGTGCTGCACTCTAACCACTGCGCCACCTCGGCTCTCTATAATATGATATTGGCTATGTAATAGTATACATGTGATTATATGTTATGAAAATGGAAAATAAAAAAAAGTTTTGCTTAATAAAAAGAAGAAGCAACCGTATCTTGACCTACAAAGCAAATAAATTAAAAAAAAATATTTTAAGTGACTGGTGGGTAAGCATGCAACTTATTTATTCCACCCTATTGTTGGCATTCTGGCGAACTCTCTGCTAGATATTAATCATACAGTGGTTTTATATTAATTATGGTTGTGCTGTCTGGCATACTCTAGGCCGTTGCTCTACATGTGTCAGAGTGTTTCGCCTGCTTGCATTTTAGCTGTAAATATTTGTTCTTACAGGTTTGCTGGTTAAGTGTCATCTAATTTTATCGTAGCGAACTTTTATAATTGCTGTGTTCCTTGGACTATACCTAGAGGGGGGGGGAATGGAGAATAAAACTCAAAAGCAAAACAAAACCAGACAAGATTACGCAAAGAGAAAAATGTGCATGAAAAGAAAGTGGGGAGGGGAAGGAACCAGAAGAAACATATAGATAAATTGCCCCCTCTAGTTTAATACTGATAAGTATATTTCAAAAATAATAATTTTCCCCACCTCTCTTCTTGACTTTTCTGCAAAGCCTAACAGGCCCTAAACCCCTTAGATCTACCCTTTGGAATGATGTCAGAATAAGGTGGGAAATAATGCTTTAACATTATTAAATGCAGCTAAGGCAGAGGTGGCATTCATCAGGTTCTGAGCGGTAGCAGAAATTTTGAGTAGTGTGGAGAACCTGTAAATGCCACCTCTCGCTGACCCCGCCCCTATCTATTTTATGCCTCCCGAGTCCTAGCTGGTCCGGACGGAATGGGGATTTTGCAGTATCCTTCCCCTGCCACGCCCACCAAGCCATTGAATCCCAAAACTGAGTTAAGGGTGAGTTTATCCTTCTTCGCTCAAAAGTTGTGGATGACGGAAGGACAGAATCATTAGGATAGGATAGGATAGGATAGGATAGGATAGGATAGGATAGGATAGGATAGGATGGGATGGGATGGGATGGGATGGGATGGGATGGGATGGGGCAGGATGGAACGGTACAGGATAGGATAGGATAGGATAGGATAGGAGAATAGAATAGAATAGAATAGAATAGAACAAAACAGAACAGAACAGAGAATAGAATAGAGAATAGAGAATAGAGAATAGAGAATAGAGAATAGAGAATAGAGAATAGAGAATAGAGAATAGAGAATAGAGAATA